AACGGTATCTATGTTTAAAATCTCACTTCCATGGATGTCACCTACGTAGATTACGGTTATCCACGGAGGTGACTTAACGTCCATGGATGTGACAGTACTGTGATCGATCTTTGGTAATTTTGAATTATCAATGTGATTAATTGTAATATGTAAATATTTCTTAATCGAGGGTAATTATAGCACTAAAAATCAGGAACAGATCCATCACAAGGCAAAAGAATGCTAGAGGCGACGTCGGAAAAAACAAAGTCCAATCCACAATTGTACGAACAGAATTGTACAAAAGAGAACGTTATAGAAATCTAAAATAAAATTATATCTATTGATCAAATGTCAGAAAGAAAACAAAAAAAAATAATGGCGTAAGAGGCAAAAAATTGTAGAATAAATGGAAAATGCAGGGAAAGATTTTTATCGAGTTTGCGTGAGGATCGCCTTAAAGTGACATTAAAAATGATACAGTTTCAGTTAGACATTTAAACATTAGGCATTCTCCAAATGTTACAAGCATACATTCTCTTCCGGTCTTAAGTAGATGATCTTGTTCTGTCCGAAGCCGTATTTCGTCATCTTACAGAGATCTATCTCCAACAGTGTTAGAAAATTACTCGCCTAGAATACTCGATTCATCGAGTAGTTGTAGTAAGTACTACATCATACCAAAGCAATAGTAGACTTAATACTTTTAAGACGACTTAGCTGTGCAAGAGGTAATAGAGATTGATCTCATAATGGAATAGGAAAGTCATATACACGAAGTGTCATCGTTGAAGAATCTCTTCCTGGCTCAAGTCATGACATTTTACATAGAGTGCCAGAAAATACTGTGATAATAACTGAAAAATCTCTTCCTAGCACTAGTCATGATATACCACATAAACTGCCAGAAAATACTATGATAGTAACTGAAGAACCCAACACATTTGACAGAACTCAAATAACAACTGTAACCTCTTTTCGGGAATTGATCGAAGGCAACTGATTATATTGGTCTGCAAATACACAAACATATTTTACACTGGTTAAATTGTCACTGTACTGGATTTTAATTCTCTAATCTTTTACGTGGTAGAGCCTAGAGTAAAGCTATGTTTTGGTTATAGCATGAATGGGTCAGCTTGACTGAGGCGTACTGAGACAATGTAAAATAGCAGCTTAACACTGATGTGTTTCGTGTGGTGAGTGTATAAAACTGAAGACCCTCTTTACTGGAAAAGAGGCATTCCATCTTAGTCCTCAGCGGTGACGACGTATCTCTATTTTGATTCGTAATCGAGGATAGATGTAGATATCTATGGGCCACAACAACCACTTACCATTAGGTGAATTGGGTGCTCTTTTGTCACCCTACCTCTATAAACAAAAAATTTAGTATTATATCAAGTTTGATTCCAGTTGACAAGTGTGATGAAGAATACACGGAGTTCGTTTAGCCACAGTGTAAAGATGTTTGGGATTGTACTTATTACTGTTACTTTATCACAATTACATTGCGGTCGAAGAAAGGTTATAAAAAATATTATTACGTTCATTCCTTCATCTTCGCCAAGATTATTCTAATGAATAAGATTCATTACTTGGTTTTTTTTTCTAAAAATGATTAAGTTGTTACTACTTTTTATTATTTTATAATGGTTTCTCATTTATAATAATTTAAATAGTCTCAGTTACTTTATTTCGTAAGAGTTTTAATAATAAATAATAATAAAAATGTTTTATTTTTCAGGCATCGTAGGCCCATATCATGTTAGTAATATAAAATAAAACTTAAGAACTAATGTTAGTAAATAAAACAAGACATAAATTTGTGAAAAATTTGGGGGTTTTATCAAGCTCCATTTCGTAAATGTAGCTTAATAAACCTACCCAGTGTCGGGCCATCTAGCCGTTCCGCAAAGACCCTCAAGAGACTATTCGAGCTCCCCCTCACTCTGTGCATCAGTGACCCCACTTTTTTACGCATGATCGCGAAGTAATCGTCAGTATGCGCATCCGCGAACATGCCTGACGCACTACAATAAGGTGGAAGCCCCAACAGCAACCTGAAGGCGTTGTTATATTGGATACGCAGGGTATTTCCTGCCCTTTGGGTATGATTGGCCCAAAGGCTGCTGGTGTAAAATGTTTGGCAGAAAGCCTTGAACAGTGTAATTTTAACTGGTACAGAGCAAGCAGCAAACCTTCGAGCCACCATGTTACCTCTCACAGCTAGCGCCCTGCGTTCCCTTTCGATATCTAGATCATCCTTCAAGTCTTCTGTTACAATATGACCCAGATATTTAAATTGGGCTACTCTCTGTAAAAGTGAACCGTTAAGCTTTACTGGAGGGATATATGTTGGACTTTTATTTCTACCTCTGAAAACCAACAGTTCACTTTTATCAGCATTATATTTCAATCCATGTTGATCAGCATAATCCTCACAAATGGCAAGCAACTTTCGCATTCCACATATTGACGGGCTCAGCAGCACCATATCGTCTGCGTAACTTAAGTTGTTTAGACTTACTCCGTCTATATGGCAACCAACATGTGTGCTGCTAAGGTCGTCAATCAGTTTATTAATATAGATATTAAAAAGCCTCGGAGAGGTAAGACCTCCCTGCCTCACACCGCACTCAAGTTTATAAGGGTCAGACAATATATAGTTCTAATTATAGTTTTGCAAGTTATATGCTAACTAAATAATGTTGATTAATAATAATTTAATTACTATTAAAAGGTTGCTTATGTGACTAGATAGAACCGAATAAAAGTTTTGTTAACCAACATGTGTTCCTGTAAAACTTTATAAGTAATAGATATAATTAACATAATATTAATAAAGCGTAAATACGTACTTAATTAATACTTAAAATTAATAAATACCAAACTGATTAGTTACATACCGATAATAATTAAAAAAATATCGTTTTATTCGTCCATAAATTATTAATAATTTATTAAAATTATACAAATATGTCACTACCGTGGAGTTGTGTCACTTCCGTGGAAAGATGTTTTCATTTTTCATGTTTTTTGTGAAAACTCCAGTGAAAATAGCTAGGCTTTTATGTGCTCCATTTAGCACGATAAGATACCTTTCATTTGAGACTTCTTTGAATTATATCAAAATAAAAAAATAAAATTTTAAAATTTGAAGTCAGCTTTTGAGAATGGCCCTTATATTAATTAACACAGTTGAAGAATGTACATAGTTTTAAGCTTTTGCCTAAAATAAAGTTGATAAAAATGATAAAAATTTGCTTTTTTCATTTTTGTAAATGGCACGTAGACACAACGTATTTATTTTAAGGTACAAATATATGCTATAAAAGTTTGAGCAGGCGTTTAATAAGAAAAATTTACAGATAAAGTTAATTTTCTTTCATCATCTTATTTTTTTTATAGGATAAGGGTGACAAACGAGCACACAGTCCACCTGATGGTAAGTGGTTGCTGCGGCCCATTGACATCTACATCCATCCTCGCTTGCGAATCAAAATGCAGATGCGTTGTCACCCGTGAGGACTAAGATGGAATGCCTCATTTCCAATAAAAAGGGCCTCCGGCCACCTGCACTCACCAAGCGAAACGCAGAGGTAAACCTCTACTTCACGCTGGTATTCTGTGTGGCTTTACCACGGTCATAACTACCTAAAAACACCAAATAATTAAAACACAAATATAATAATTGATGATCCTAATAATTTCATAATTATTGTCCATTTTTTTTTCATTTATTTATAACATTATAATACATACAAGGGTTACATCTAATTAACTTGTAAAAAACCGTGAGGTTTGTCCGCAAGTTACATTCTCACACATAATACAAGTCTATAATACAATCATCTAATCTATCGTTGCTTACAAATAATGACAATAATATTAAGTATGTACAAACAAATGTTTTAATCGATAAATTACAATCCACCATTAATTGCAAACCACCGCGCTGAACAGGTTATATTGCTTGAGAACCGATTTCATTGATCGCGCGAGTGTGGGCGAGACAATTAGATCATTATTATCGAGCGCTCGGATTATCTAGCAGAAGTTGTATACAGGTTGCTGCAAAAACTTTTTCATTATTTACATTTCAGTATGCAAATATAAATGTTTTCCATTTAAATATATAAGAAATTTAATTTTGTAAATTTAAATTTGTTTTCTCTAAAAAAAAAACTAACACAAACTGTCATACAAAAAGCTATACTTACCTACTTCTTGTCATAGATACTTTACCACCAATTTATGATATATCATATATTGGGGACGCGCGGCTGATGAAAGACTGTTGCAATTGTCTCAGGGCAATATTTGGAGCCAAACAAACAGACAGTTGCAGACCTCTGTTTGTAAAATTAAGAATTCTAAATTTACCCTCATTGTACATATACCAAATCTGCTTATTTCTCAAAAGTAATTTACATTATTTAAAATCGCACATTGTTGAACACTCGAGGCAAACAAAGAATTTTTTCTATGGCAACCTTACAATTACTGCCAACCCCCAGTCAATAAATAATACTTGTAAGAAACGACGAACAATAGAAATGAAAACTATGACACCGATTAAAAACCGAATAAAATTAAGAACTAATGAAGTATGAAATAACTTGTACTGATGTTTATTAAATAAATGAAGAATATTATATACGACTAACTGTTCCTTGCGACTTCGCTTGCGTGTAGTTTAGCCTGTTGCCATTGTTCCTTGTGCAAAAAAGTGTCTCAGGGCAATATTTGGTGCCAAACAAACAGACAGTTGCAGACCTCTGTTTGTAAAATTAAGAATTCTAAATTTACCCTCATTGTACATATACCAAGCCTGCTTATTTCTCAAAAGTAATTTACGTTATTTTAAATCACACATTGTTGAACACCCGAGGCAAACAAAGAATTTTTTTATGGCAACCTTACAATTACTGCCAACCTCCAGTCAATAAATAATACTAGTAAGAAACGATCAACAATAAAAATGAAAACTATGACACTGATTAAAAACCAATTATATATTAATTTGATTTAAGTTTCTGATTTACTAATGCCTTAGTTGAAATTACTCTTACAAAATATAACAATATAACAAAACATATCCCAATAATAAAACAGAGAGAAAATAACAAAATCAAAAGTAATTTAACTTCATAATATTCTATCCAAGTTAAGTTCGCAGCAGGGCCCCGTAAATGCTCAGCTCCTCCATGTCGAAGCACGTGCTCTGTCCACCACACTGCTCGCTCTAGTGAACTTTGTGGCTGGTCATGCATTAATGACCGGAGGCGTTTAATATTATGACGATAGCTGTAAAATTTATAAAATTATTGTACTGAAAAAGTTATAGACAAAGTACCGCTTATATTTAATATGGTACACTGTACTTAAATTACAAAACACTGTATTTACTGTTTGTTGTTTACACTGTATACAACACTGTATTTTATATATCACAAATATATGTTATAAACGTTGATATAAAACAAAATGATATAAACACAATGATATAATAAAAACCTGTTTAGAAACATTCTCATCACGAGATCTCTAAAATTATATGCCCGATTAACTAAAAATTTGGCATATAGACTCTTCTCTCGACATAGACATCCAATAAGAAAAAACTTTAATCTCTCAAGGGGTAAAATATGGTATTACAGCTCAAATTTACTCGCTTGCTTTACTACGCAAAATAGTCAATGGTGCGCCTGTTAGCAAGCATGTAACTTATGAACGACTTGACCGATTGAAGTTATATTCACACATTTTATTCTTTTTGGACGATGGTATACAACTATACTAGGCAGAAACAGTTTATTACCTATGAGGTAACAAACTCTTTCTAATAGGTGGCACTGCAATCCATTTAAAAACGTATAATCTACCTATATTTCTGGATAAATAATAAATGAACATATAGCATATTAAATAGGTACATATATTGTGAAGAAAATGAACATTCAAAGGTGTCATCAATCGTCATGTAAACATGTCAAATCTTTGTTCTCTATTTGAATTTTATTATTAAATAGATATAATAGTTAAAAGTTATTTAATTTATATTAAAAATGTAAATCATAGTATAAATTTACCGTGTCAGTGTTTTCACCGCATATTATACGTGGTAGGGCCATGCTGCAGCTATATTAGTAGTATAGTTGTAGCAAGAATGGGTCGGCTCGACCGGGGAAGGATCACGCTCTCAAAGAATACCAGCGTGAAATAGCAGTTTAACACTGCTGTATTTCGTATGGTGAGTGTAGAGAACCGAAGACCCTTTTTACTAGAAAAGAGGCATTCATACTTACGGGTGACAACGCATCTGCATTTTGATTTGCAAACGAGGCTAAATGTAGATGTCTATGGGTCACAGTAACCACTTAGCATCAGGGGGATGTGTGCTTGTTTGTCACCTTATTCCTATAAAAAATAGAATTAATTAACAACTGTGATAATATGCGTTTACGTCCGTAACGTCAGAAACTCAAAATGAGTACTTCACTTGAGTCTACAGCGGTAATTAAACAGTGTGTAAAATGGAAAAAGTGCTATAGTGTTATTAAATTAATAAACATTAAAAAAAGTTATAACAGTGCTCCGTAATACTCGTATTTCACAATAATAGTGTGTATCAGTGATCTTCAGATTTTTGTCGCAAACTTTGATATACCCACAAGTCCGAAAGTAACTTTAAAATTGGTCCCTAAACTATAAGACATTTTCATCAAATCAACCAACTGATACCGTGGCGCAATTAGAGTAACAGTCTTGGGCATGCAACTTAGAACATTATTTTACTAACAAAATGATACGTTTTATGTGCTTCCATCTACATTCCGAAGTGCTAGGCTAGACTTATTTTAATCTCACTAGAGGGCACACTTATATATTAAGTCTATGCACATGCAATGATCCATGCGCACTACGCAGTTAGTAGCGGTCAATGGTAGTTACGCTTAAATTGTTATTAATATTTATTCAACATTATTTATTTTTAGAAAATGCCGTTTTATCTGTGTTTTCAGGCAATGAAAAACTGCTAAAATATCATAAGGATAAGAAGATAAATTTCGCCGCTATGTACAAGGTTATGATAGCTCAGGTGGGTAACCGGGCGTTCCCGAAACGAAAAAACCCCTGTTCGAGTCCAACAGGTTTGTTTATTTTTTCCCTTTTTTTTTCAAGTTCCTTCTTTCGTAAGAATTAGGCGCCATCTGTTCGGCAAATCACGACACTAACGAAAATTTAATTTGAGTCGCGTATCTATCTCTAGTATATATACAGTAATCTATGGTTACAGTGGAGCGCTACGCTGTGGTCGGTTCAAACCCCAACATTGATCGCCTTTTTTCCATTTCAAAATATTTTTAAATACACTTTACTAATAAGACAGAATGACCAGTACTTAACATTCAAAAATATGTTCTGGATGCAAAAATAATTTGCCCAAGAAGGAATCCCAGTATCTCGACTTGCGGATCGAAGTACGACTGTGATTGAGCAAATATATCCCAAAATAATTTAAAAAATGGACTAAAAGTTAAAAGAAAGTTGGAAATGTCCGGAATGTTGTGGTAAACGGACTAAGACAGGCAACACCAACACACTCGTTATGGCAGTCATCACAAATCTCGTATGCGGCAATGCATCTGATAACGAAGAACCTACTGATTCGAATATCACTACTCAAAAGAACTTAACAAGCCACCACGCCTACAATGGCTACCAGCACCGATGCCATCGGGACGTCCAACTTAGCAACTTGAGGGAAAGCACCCTTCGCTGCATAATAAAACAAGAATTGTCAATTACAATATGAGAACTTGTCACAACTCAACCAAACACAATAAATCAACAAATAACGAGATTTAGTGAGTGCATGACTTTTATAAACACATAGTTTGAAAAAATGAAAGCGGCAATGACAGAAAAATGAACTGTTTTCAACCATTTATAAAAAGAAAATGATCAACTGAATGCATCGGTTAAGAACCTCAACACCAGGTTGAATATTGTCGAATCCTATATGGGAGAATGTAATGTCGAAATAAATTATATACCTGAGCATAGGACAGAAAACTAGGTTAACACTATGGTGCAGCTAGGAAAAGTCCTAAAAAAACCCTCTACTCTCGAACGACATTCAGCATATTAAACAAAACCTCTGAAAATCCACACTCTGTTATTGTTATACATATAGGTGTATATATATATATAGGTGCTCGTGATAAATGATATTACCATATTCACATTAGACTCGGCCAATTTTAGACCTATTTCTGTACTACCAACACTTAGTAAGATTTTTGAAATATTATTCTGGATCAAATGTTAAATTTCTTTAATATTTAACTTACTTCATAAAAATTAATTTGGTTTCACAAGGGGTCGCTCGACAACTGACGCCGGTGTTGAGCTGATTAAATATATCTTTAATGCATGGGAGAATTCACAGGATGCTTTGGGTATATTTTGTGACCTATCCAAGGCCCTCGATTGTGTTCGCCATGAAACATTATTCAGGAAACTTCAACATTCCGGTGTAAGAAGTGATGCTCTTAAATTAATTATTTCATATTTAAGTAAGAGGATGCAAAAAGTTGTCATTAACATTATGAGCTCTTCCGGGTCGGTGGTATAAATGGGCATGCCTCAAGGCTCAATTCTGGGCCCCTTTCTGTTTCTTGTGTACATTAATGACTTACCTTACATAGTAGTGCATAACCATGATATAGTATTATTTGCAGATGACACTTATTTAACTTTCAAATTAAGTCGACAATTACTAAAATATGACGAAGCTAAATCTAAATTAGTAAATTGGTTCAATGTTCATAATTTGCATTTAAATGGCACTAAAGCGAAATGTATGAAATTCATGACTCCAAATGTCGTACAATTAAATACTTATGAAATTTTGATTGGGGAGAAACTGAGTCTTGTAGATACCACCATTTTTCTTGGAATCACAATAGACGCGAAGCTTCAATGGAACCCCCATATATCAAAACTAGCAAGCAGACTTAGTTCTGCAGCATATGCAGTAAAAAAGATTAGAAGTCTTACCACTGTTGACACAGCTAGTCTAGTTTACTTTAGCTATTTCCATAACATAATGTCGTATGGTATTTTACTATGGGGACACGCAGCTGAAACTGAAATTATATTTGTTTTACATAAGAGGGCCACAAGAGCAATTTATGATTTAAAGAGCCTCTGCGACAAAAATTTAAAGAAATTAATATATTAACTTTGGCCTCTCAATACATTTATGAAAATGTAATGTATGTACACAAAAATAAAAGTAGTTTTACAAAAATAAGTGATATTCATTCTGTAAATACTAGGAACAGACACAAGCTAGTAGTACCAGTTACTCGACTCCATCGAGTCAGTAATTAATTCTTGGGGCGATGAATACGCTTTTATAACAAAATTCCAGAAAATATACAAAATTTGATCTGCTCAAAGTTCAAAAACTTTATTAAACTAAGTTTGTATAAAAAGGGTTATAATAATATTAAGAATTTATTGATAGTTACGACCCCTCGAAATGAGGTGATCGCTACCAAGCTATTTCTAATTTGTTGTGTTGTTAATTTGTGTAACATACATGATTTTAAGCTGTTATTTTAAAAAAAGTCACGCTGGGTTTCTTGCTTGTTCTTCAAAGGACAGAGGTTTTCTTTTCGAACTAGTGGTAAATAAACAAAAGAGTGACTTTCAATAAGTATTATTTATAATCTATATTGAATAAAAAAGTTTCTGGTTCTGTTTCTGTTTCATAAATGATAAGGTTACCAAAGAGGTAAACACTAAATTAAAACAAGAAGAAGATTTCGATAGAATTACTAATTGATGCAGCCTTAATAGTATGACTCTTAATGTTAACAAGTGTTTTCATGTAAGAAAACCAGAAAGAAAAATCCACCTGTCTCAAGTTATTCAATCGATAATGTTGTATTACAAGAGTTACCAGAAATCAAGGACTTAGGAGTTACTATTGACAGGAAGTTTACTTTTACATCACATATTATAAACAATGTTATTAGTTTTTCTACGGATTCATTGTACAAAACACAGAAGATTTACCCGCCGGACTAAAATTATTTTGTAATCCTTACTATCACATACATCGCTTTTACAAGGTACCTTGCATTCCATGAAACTGGTATCTCACACAGGCAGCCATATAATCAAATATTGTTTGAATTTAAAACGATGTCTCTTCTGGGAGATACTTGATCTGTTTCTTGCATAAAATAATGAGTTCCAAAGCCAATTATAAGTTAAAAGTTAATATTTAATCTTTAGATATAAAAATTACGTGTCACGTTGTTTGTCCGCGATGAACTCCTAAACTACTGAACTGATTTCAATTAAATTATGCACACAGTGTGAAGTTCAGTCCAACTTAAAACATAGGTTAGTTTTTATTTCGATAAGTGACCTCAATTTTTTTTATTGCGAATTTAAGGATTTTTTATTAGCACAAAGGTTCGTCGGTATGGGCAAAACAACGTCTGCCTGGCCAACTAGTATATATATATATGCTTATAAAATAAAATAAAACAAAATAAAAGGAGTGGAGTTATTTAATAAATATTATATTCTATTTCAATTAAAGTTAACTTAAAGTAAACTTTACTTAGTTAACAGAATCATCTCGTCACCTACTGGAAATGGTAGACCAACGTCTTTCGAGCCAACTAGTAGTATGTACGAGTATAATAAATATTTTAAAGTGGTATAGCCACATTGCAGCTATGGGTCGGCTCAAGCGGGGAATGATCATGATTTCATGGCATGGAATAGCATAATTAATAATGCTTTTTTGCATGGTGAGTGGCGTTGATTGGAGCTCCTTTCTAACTATTTAACACCCTTAGATAATGCGAAACATTTGTAATGAATTGCGTGGTAGAGCCATGCTGCAGCTATATTATGGTTGTAGCACGAATAGGTTGGCTCGACCGGGGTAGGACAGCACTCTCACAAGAAAACTTAATGCTGCTGTGTTTCGTGTCATGAGCGTAGAGAATCGGAGACAATTTGTTCTGAAAACGAGGCATTCCATTTGAGTCCTCAAGGGTGACAACGCATCTGTATTTTGAGTTTTTTAAGAAAAACGTTGATGTCAATAAGCGTCAGTATCCACTTACCATCAGGTGGATGCAGGTGGTGCTCATTTGTCACTCTTATATTATAAAAAAGAATTCTTTACAAATGCATGCAATTACCAAGACACCAGATCCATATTTTATGATAAATTGTAAATTAAACCGTTTGTTAATTTTTGTGTTTTCTACTACAATGTTTATGTATAAAATATAGTTTAATAAATAAATACCTGTCGTTTATAAGTACATCTCTTATAGCTGTTGCGAAAATTTCTTCTGTTAAGGTTTCCAAGTCGAGTTTTATTCCTATTCCATGACGGACGTACTGCCCAACATTATACCACTGGTCTCCAAGCATTGGTATTCCAATAAGTGGAACCCCCGCTGTTATGGCTTCATCTGTTGACTGCAATCCACCTTGTGTTATGAAAAGTTTAACTTTTTCGTGTCCTGTAAATTTGACAATTCCTCTCTTGTTATACCAAATAACTAAATTATTTCCTCAATTTGTTTGATTTTTAACAAGCTAGTTTTGTAAAACTTACTTAATAGGTCAGATTGTGGAAACCACTTCATTATCTTTATATTTTTGGGTATGTCGTTTAATGCATTCGAATCCCATTTCCACAAGACTTCGTAAGGTAGTCGAGAGAAAACATTCACAAATATCTGTATTTTTTCTGGAGGTAACAAAGATGGATTTACATTAGTGCCTAAACTAAAGTATATGACACCGTTGATTGAAGAATCCATTAGAATTTGTAGATCCTAAAATGATGTTTAAAAACTAATTAATTAAAAAAAGAAAATTTTAGTTAAGTAATAGAAATTAAATCATTATAATTTAAATAATAACAACAAAGTATGATAATATTTTTACTGAAGTGTTCGTCTGGCCACTCTTTCATCTTGTTCACCATAATTACAAGCTGAGGCATTCCACCTTAGTACACGTGGGTAAGAAGGCAACTGTAGCCTTCTTTGTAAAGTTAGCTGCAGGCACAATTTTTTTAAATATATTGTTGAAGCTTATTCATTAGCTCACCGTTGGTAATTGTTTCAGAGGTTTTTGATGTAAACCACCCATATAAATTACATTTGGTGGGACCGGCCGATTGTTGTCCCAAATTGGATGAACATTTAAAAATAGCATTTGTACATTTTTTGTTAATTCGCTTAGTGTTGGTATATTGGGACCAAATATTCGTTTCAAAACTTTGTTTTCCTTTTCTTCATGGTTTTTAAATAGTTGCATTAATGAATAATCATTATAATACCATTCGACTAGTTTTTCCCACGAAGAAAGATTATATATTTTCTGTCGCAAAGACAAAGGATATAATATTGGATGGATAGGTGCACCCATAGTTTCAAAGTTTCCAAACATTCCACCAAATGAGCTTACTAAAATAACAGGTACTTTGTATAAATATGATAAAGATAATGCTGGTCTTGTGCAAGCTTCTAGAAGAAGTAAATCAAAAGATCTTTTATCTGTTAATATTTCTCTAAATTCTTTTTCTTCTGTTTGTTTTTCAAAAATCTTGATTATAAGGTCGAATACCACTTCCATTTGTATACTTAAATCGTCACTTTTTCCTGTTGCTGCTGACACAAAACTTTTCCAATTACTATAGGAAACGTTGTGCACATTTATTTCTGTTAAATTTGCAGGTGCTTTCCCTTTAGGATAAGCAGGATCTGGAGTAACAACAACCACTTCGTGTCCCCGCTTTGCTAATTCTAATGTAAGAGGTCGAAAAACTACTTGATGACTTATTGATGGAATCGGAAATACCGCCAGTATTCTTGCAGTTTTAACATCTATCACAAAAGTATTGAAAATAATAATGTAAGTAAATCGCATCACTATATTGTACATCTTAAAACGTTAGTCTAACACAAAGTAAACAAACTAAATGACAGTCATAATACAGTACATACAAGTATTATAGGTGTAGATATGTCTCACGTTTCCTAGGAATTTAATAATGGAATTGTTGTCGGCGAGAACTTAATAATACATGATTGATGATAAAGTAATATTATAGAAGCGTTATACGTAAATCATTATTCATGACATACAAAAATACACGTTTAATCATTTTCTTGGTTCCTACATTTAATTATCCGTCATTATATTGCCAAAAGTGTAAAAGGTCATGTTTGGTTTTTAAATATGTATAAACGTTTTTTTTTATTACAAAAATTATAAATCTATAGTCACTACTTATCAATTTAATAATTAAGATAGTAATTGACAAATTAATATATAATTTATGTAGTATCAGCAAACCGTGTACTTTGTGTTATTTCTCGTGGAATGCCTTTATGTATCTTTTTTTTACTTCTTAGTTCTTTTTAGGGTTCCGTACTTAAACCACAAATAATCCTAATACCGTCGCTATGTCCGTCCGTCCGCGGTTTTACTAAGAGACCCTAGGTGATACAAATCTGTAATTTATCAAAGTTATAGGTATTAATCACGCCTACAAAACTAAGAAATAAAATCTTTTAAAAAAACATTTTTATTTTGTGTAACTCCCATACAGGTGACAAGGGAAGATGATTTTTTTACGCTTTTATTCCATCGTATGGAGTATCTATGGACCACATTAGGGGTATGGACCAACGTTTTTTCGATTCAGGGGTCCGTTTGTGAAATATTTAGCTTTAAAGAGGTATTTTTCGTTAGTAATGTGTGCCCAACTCTACTTTCTTATTTACTTACTACTTTCGCTTATTTTTTAGTCGGTAGTCATTGTAGGCCTCATTCAAAGTATTCATACAATCATATAGCCTCATACATTTTCATTCGTGGTACCCTTGGTTTACGCGGGCTAACCACTGAATAGTTTAGGGCAGTAGTAGTATTAATTAAATGTATATCTTAGGGTTGAATTGCAGGGAATATAGGTAAAGATATATAGTCAATTATGTCCATTTTTGTAAAGACTTGGCATGTTACTGATTTGATGTAGATTGTATTATTTTCAAGATCGAAAAGTATTTTAATTATTTTTGAATACCCATCCCTATAAGTCTGATTGAAAATAAGTCCTTCAGTTACTATCGTTCTTTTTGGGCTCATTTTTAGTCGTTATAGTGGTCAAACCACGAACTCACTTATTATGATCATTACAAAGAAAGCTCCTCCTAAGTTCAAGTCTTGTGACGGGAAACTACGGAACTCTACCACTACATTTTAAGTGGCTGACACACACTTGGCCATTTTTTTTATTTTACCAGCGGTTGCTCAAATGCAAGTCATACTTGCAAAGTGCTCCATGCCTTCGAGGTTATCTCAAGTATTTATAATGATTGAAATTTAATTATTTTTTACATCACAAGATTTTTTATTTATACTTGTATAACCTTGATACATAAAAATCCCGCGTGACGATGTTCGTTCAAGCTAATTTCCAAAACCGCTCAACCGATTTTAATTAAATTTTGAAAAATGTGTATTCCTTGCTTCAAACTTGACACATAGGGTAGATTTTATCGCGATAAGTGACTCTCAATATGTTTTATTGCTAATTTATGGATTTTTATAGGATAAAAAGTCGTACGAAAGGGCCAAACAACATGTGCTTAGCGGGCTAGTCTATCATAAATTTCTCTAATGTAACTTATATATTAACATATTATAAAACAGAGTCGCTTCCCGACGTCTGTACGCTTAGATCTTTTAAACTACGCAATGAATTTTGATGTGATTTTCATTAGTAAACAGAATGATTCAAGAGAAAAGTTATATAATAAATAATTCTTCTAACCGAGTGTATGTAACTGAACTCCTCCTAAACGGCTGAACCGATTTGGATGAAATTTAGTGTGTGATTAAGTTGAGTAGAAGAATCTTGACCGACTTCAAAAAAGGAGGAGGTAAACAACGTGACTGTATTTTTTATGTGTTTTAACTCAAAACCTTTCTTCTAGGTCAACCAATTTTGATGATTTTTTTTTATTTAAAAGCAAGTGCTTCTCATGTAATCTCATATAAATTTGATCAAGATCTGACCAGTAGTTATTTATTCCCAACGTTTCGGAAGCTTTACCGCACCTATGGTAATGGGAGGGGGGCGTTTAAGGAATTAGTAGTATGCTTCGGTATATATTTAACTTTATTCAATATGGTATTCCCAAACACATGATAGTATTGCTAAACTTCAAGATAATGTGAGCTCCGTCTGCGTAGATGGGGCCAAAAGTTATTTTTTTATAGGATAAGGGTGACAAACGAGCAAATAGTCCACCTGATGGTAAGTGGTTGCTGTGGCCCATAGACATCTACATCTATCTTCGATTACGAATCAAAGTGCAGATGCGTAGTCACCCGTGAGGACTAAAATGGAATGCCTCGTTTTCAGTAAAAAGGATCTGCGGTTATCTACACTCACCATACGAAACACAGCAGCGTTAAGCTGCTATTTTACGCTAATATTCTGTGAGAGCGTGGTCCTTCCCCGGTCGAGCCGACAAATTCGTGTTACAAACATAATATAGCTGCATGGCTCTACCACGTATTAATATTAGTAGTTAATATTTAATAGTTGAAGTAAGTCTTCTTTAACTCAGACATTAGGACGCCAAACACCTCAGCGCTATCCGTAATGATTAGTGTTCTAAAGCGCGCGAAGCGTCTGCAATTAATTAAGTTAAACACAATGTAATCAGTAAAATTAGTTTCATTGAGTGTTATGAATTTCTATGACTATGTAATTTATGACTCCCTCGGAGAAAAATTTAAAGAAATAAACATATTAACTTTGGTATCGCAATATATTTATGAAAACATAATGTATCTACATAAAAGCATAAATATCTTTAATAAGAATAAGGATGTTCATATCTTAAACACTAGGAACAAATATATACTTGTAATGCTAGTTGCTAGACTCCGCAAAATCAGTAATTCATTCAGGGGGCAATGTATAAGCTTTTACAACAAAATCCCAGAACAGGTTGAAAGTTTGTCAATAAACAACTTTAAAAGTTTTAATAAAGAAAAACTGTTCAAAAAAGGTTATTATAATATCAAGGAATACATAAATGAATATAACCCCTGGAAATAAGGTGATCGCCACCATTCTGGTTCTAGGAAAATTCATTTAAAATTGTATAAACAAAATTATTGTTAAGTGAAATTATGTTAAAAAAAGTCCCGCTGGGTTTCTTGCTGGTTCATCCCAGGACAGAGGTATTTTCCGAACCAGTGACAAATAAAAAATCACATTCAATAAGTATTATGTAATAACCAATATTGAATAAAATATTCAATATTGGTTATTACATTTAAAATATTCAAGTAAACCAAATTATATAATATAGAGTAAGCGTTATCCAAGATAGGACTCACATAAACCTATCAATAAGAAGAAAAACAGTCACGTCGGAAATATTGACGCCAACTCATGATTGAGAAATTCCTATGCTGACGAAAAAAAAAACTTTGACGATATCTATCCATCCATCCATTACATCTTTACTAATATTATAAAGAGGTAAAGTTTGTAAGCTTGTGAGTTTGTTTGTAGAAAGTAACCTCTGGAACTACTGAGCTGATTATAAAAATTCTTTTACCAGTAGTGTACATTATTCCAGAGTGACACAGACTATATTTGATTGTAATATATTTTAATGTGAAATAACATAATTCCGAAAATAAATCATAAACACTCAGTGTTAAGAACCAAACAAGATAATTTCATCACAAGTTAAAATTTTTGGCACCCAGCAAAGTGGGCACAGGTCAGCTAGTCCTATATAAGTCCACTGCTAGTCACAGGTTTTCCCCATGTATTGCCGTATATGGGGAATTTTACCATAGTTGCTACAATTGGCAGGTGGGTTAGCAACCGCAGTTTTAATTATTTTGAATTGTTATCAAGAAGATGCTGCTGCCTATCTCTTGTTTCAGTTTTCCTCTGTCGCCTCTTACGATACCCAGGGGTGAAATGGAGTAGTGGATTTTCTTACACCGCAACCACATAGGTAAGTTTTTACGATATACTTGCAATGAAACGTGGCCATGTAATTTTGACCCCAAAATAAGGTACTAGCAACAGTCGACTGCGGGGAGCTCTTTAGATGAGCCAACTTGCAACGCAATGTCGTCATCCGCAAAGCACATAGAAAGAAATGGTTAGCTTCTTCTTCCGCCAAACGGTTCCTATTGTGTTCTAGACAATCACAAATCACTTAACTCCGAGTGATATATGATAATTTGTGCCACAAAAGTGTTTTCAGTTTGGTGTGACAACCAACCAAAGTCTGACACCTAACACCGCTACACAACATCGCACATGTCTGCTTTTAGCTGACGTGGCAGACGTGTATAACGTCGGGTAGTGGTGGTACTTGACTTTTTAATCCAAAAATGTTTATAGTTGGATGCAGGTGTCCATGGGCTCGAACAGCTGCTTGACATCAGTTGAGTTGTTATTTCGTTTGACAGTTCAGTTTTATAAAAGAGAATACTTAAAAATATAAGTGTGGTTTTAAAACATTTGAAAACGGGCTGTAATTAATAACGTCTTAAATTTAAAATTATAAAGCTCTTTTTCAATATAAGATCAATCGATCAAGGCTTTCAGAGTTTACACGATTTAACATTAGTGGTTCACCAACCATTTTATACGTAATTTATCTTTACGTATAAAATGTATGTAAAGTAAAGATGTAGGTAAATGTAGGTAATTCATTTAATAGCTTTCCTGTGACTGTGACAAGGTTAATATTTTTTGTACAAGCAGTATTTTTTGTAAAAATGCAAACATTTACATTTATCCTCGATTAAAAGTCTAAATGCATTATGCCTTGTCACTGAGAATTAAGATGGAATGCTTCGTTTCCAGTTAAAAAGGAGTCTGGTTTTTA